TATTACAAATATCTTCCAAGTATTTCAGTTTCTTATGTAAACTAGTACGCTCAATGATATCAAATGATTCATTATTACGTTTTTTCCAAATAAAACAACATTGGAGGAAATTCTTCACTCAGGAAATTTTTCTCAACTGAGGAAATCTTTGTGAAAGAAATAGGTAAAAATATTATTCGATCTAGAAAGTTTGTATTTAAACAATAAAGTATGTTCCTTTTATTAGTTTTGTCTGACATAAAAATCTTCAAAGATACATAGATAAACAGCATTTTCCTGTGCTATAATTGAATGTTGAAATTTGAATGTTGAGAGGCGGTAAGTTAACAATGTAATTTTCGATGCAAATACTTGAAATACGTTACTACTTCGCATTAATCATTACAAACAAATTATATAAAAAAAGGAGTGACAGAAGTATTGGAAAATAATTGCCTCGAAATAAGAAAAGAACACAAAATATTTCGCAGACAAGAATTTATGTTCTGAAAATGTAAATAAACATATCAATTAATGTTAATATGTCGATCGAATCGTGTTAACGAAAGATAATCGTCATATTTTTAAAACAACGTATAAGAAAGGATAACAAATTTAAAAAGTTCATGTATTGTGTCGTAGTATCAAAAATACAGAGAAGAAATATCGATAAGCATATTAGTTTTAGATTTTGAAATATCGTTGTTAAACATAAAAGAGAAATTTTACTTATTTAATCTCTTGTGCAGACTATTTTTACAAGATTAAATTGCCGAATCTATTCTTCAATTATCATCTAAAAATAATTATGATAATTAGCGTAACATAACTTGATCCGAGTCTACATCCGAGTGTAGGCATGAAATATTGCGTTTATAATTATGCTCATATATTAAACTCATAAAACACATAATCTGTTTAAGCAATTAATATTATTAGAAGAATATTTAATAAAGATAATGGTGATCATTTTGGATACAGACTTACCTACCCCTTCGATCACGTAACGATCCTTAGAACTCATGTCTGCAATCTCCGTCACACTCACGACGATTTTCACGCTCATCGCTGTATTGTCAGATGTTTAATTGTAGATCCGTATTCTGGCACTTGGGGAACAACTAATCGTCACTGTTCCTTCTAACTTCTTGTTTTCGATATCTAGCGATAATAGCTTTGACGTCAATAACGCACAATTGCCCACAAGATTCTTTATCACATATCCTTTTCCAATTCCTTTAATCACTTCTTCCCTAATAACAATTACTTTCTTCGTTCAAAACGTTAGAAATGTTTTCAATAAGAGTTATACTCTTTTGCAACGGTTGAGATGTTCCGATTTTAATCGACTAGTGATTCAATGAAAATAACAGATTACAATATAATCTCCCGTGTTACAAATTCCACGTGTAACTAGAATATTTGCCGCGTCAATTATTTTACACGTGAAAACGTAGAACGCGCATAAATCATACATACCTACACGCGCGGAATAGGAATTCTTCTTTCATTTATTTAACATGCATAATGTGTTTAACGTGCACAAAATGAAGTAGACTTGAATGCTTGTTTTCACAGGATGTGCGACGGCCAAACGAATACAAATTTTCTTTTAACTAACTCTATCATATGTTTTACAATGTTCTTGCTTGACCTTTAGAGCTCAACCAGAATAAGTAATATCGCAGATTCGTGTCTCATTATTACTCGCTATTTTTATTAAACATACGTAGATTGATGTATCGTTCTGGCGGTTTGTGGTAATTCTTGAATCTATGCGAAAATCACTTCCCCGAGTATGTATTGCGACTGATACAAAGAAAGCTACCTACTGTTAATCTGAACTCTTGTTATGATACTATAATCCCAGGCACATTAACACAGCGCTTCCTGCGGGCCATAGCACAACCTTGAAAGAGTCTAGACGTCGCAGACTGTGTTACGTAAAGCCAAAGTTACGAACTCCGATTTTCCGGCTTCTTGAAGATACAGATGGCCAACAAAGATACCGCATCGTTGATAACATTGTAGTTGTTTCTCGAAATGCGCGCACATTTTCCTCAAAAATCATCTTTATCTCTTCTATGTTTTATATGTAAAACAACAATTACGTTTCTCTTACACAATAGCGGCCTGATTGTTTGATTGTATTCAATTACGAGTAAAATATCCTGTCGAAAGATATGCGACGACAAAAGAACACGAAGATGCAACTGGATAATAAAGATTATTTCTTTTGTTGATTTTATCCGATATTCTTCTTTAAGAGTATAGAATCACACTGTTCGTGGAAAATTCTGTTGATCGATATTATACTTTTAATTCTTCCGTTGATCCATCAGTTTATCTTTGATCCTTGCAACGTTGATATCAATGAATTCCATTTATAGTTTTCCTTGTTGCTAACATATTTTTCGAATACATTAGAGTTCAATAGTTGAAAGATGTGATATAGCACATTATTGATAGTTTTCAATTTAGACCTCGGTTTTAATTAAAATTAATAATGGCAGCTTGATTTCCTGCTGTGCAAACAATTTTATTTTATAAAAATGTACTGATAGTGCTCTTGAAACATTAGTTCTTTTAATAGATAGTGCTCTTCAACATTAGAATACAGTAGTTCGAAGATACGATATAATACTATTAACGGGATTTAATTTGGTGGAAATAATTTTATCTCGCTCTTGAAAATGTGGCTCGTAAAAATAATTGTAAATGGTTTTTACATCGTTCTCGTTATTTTTCTTTCATTCGTGCTTGTCTCTACGCGTAACATATCGAAATATAGAATAAAATACTTCGTTCGATTCTTCGAGAAACACACGATATTGTTAAAAGATTATTAAATTGTTCCTATTCCTTTCAATCATATTAACAGCTGTAAACACAATACCTTGCACCATATCTTTGGAAATTTACATTTAAAATCACCATATTCCTCGTCACTGGCCGTAACAGTTATCATAGAGATTGCCGGTTCTCAGAATTGTTTTCGTATTACCAACGAAAGGAAGAGTCAACAAAAACAACTACGAAGGACGAGAAAATAAAGGAACGTGAATCCTTTTTCTCTCTGCTGTTCATTCAAATGATAAGTATTTTCACAAAAGCAGCTCGAAGTTCACTTATCGAAAGATGCCTGAATGATCACGGACCACGTGGTAAACAACTATTGTAATTTTCGAATAACAAAACTTGACGCATGTGTGACGGAAACTTTGCAAATCAACACTACCCTACATCCATTAAGCCGGATTCAACGTAAGTGACAGAAACCACTGCTCCTTCTTACCTGTAACGACAGGTGTATAGTTTGGTGGGAAACTAAAGGTATATTCGAGTGGGGATCGCGAAGGTGGGGGCTAAACCTTCAAGAACGTACAGTGGAGAGGCACAAGGTAACCTCTGTTCTTGCGTCTTGTAATAAAATTTATTGTTTTAACAATCTAATTTCGAGCTATTATATTATTCGGACGTTTAGATTATCGAAATCGTTCGACTAGGTTGAATTGTCTCGAGCTTGCTAAAATAGTCGAACTATTTTAATGTTCGAATTACTCGATTACTATTCAGTTTAGATATTCGAAACTTTCAAAGTTACGAGACTTTGTATAAGAATATCGATAATGTCAGTGTTGTGTCGACAAACGTTTCTTTGAAGGTTTGAGTAGATTGATGGAATAGACTAATACTATATGGAACATATATCAAAGGTGAACAGGATAGAACGAAAAAAAAGAAAGGCTGAAAATATTCGTCCGATTGTGAACGTAGCTTGGATCTTGTTTTTTTTAACTATTCGTTAAAGGACATTCGATTTTTCCGAGTTTATCGTAGGCGAGTGTTTGCGCTTACTTGAATCGTTATACGGTATCTCTGTCTGTTATGACTACAATTTCGAAGTGTGATTAAAAAGCAAGATAGCGTAATTCGTAAGGAAAAAAAAAGTCCACGGAATACGAAGATATTTTTTTCAAATTTTTTAACAGAGCGTTCAGAGGTGAATCAAGGATCAAAATTGCAAAGTAAAAGTATTTTTCTTAGCTTCGTAAAATGAGTCAAACGAAAAGAATAATCTTTTATAATTGTAATTAAAAAGAAAGGAATGTTTTTACGTGTAATAATTACGGATATAAAAATTCTTTTATGCTGGTGGCTTTCGTAAATGTCAGCAAAAACTGATAACTTTAATCATATGATATAAGCTACAACATGCTCCGCCTTAAAGAAAGTCTCAGGCATCGAGTATTAAAGCGATCGATTTGTCATGGAATGATTTTTACAATTAGTTGATTTCGGAGGAAACAAAAAGAACAAAAGATCAGATTATGTACTTATGTTAGTATCGCGTAGTGATTGGATGCAATTATGATCGAGAAGATTGTGAATCACCGTGGAACGATTTAAAACAGTAATTAGCGACGTTGTTTCACGATTAATATATACATACTGAAAATCTCCACTTGTTGCAATAGCAGTTGTCATCTGGCATAAAATACACGAGTTATGAATTATGACTGACTTGCAAAGTATATTACTACCGTAGGAAAAATGGAGCAGGAAAAAGGGGATTTTCTTTAATATACAATACACAATAAACTCTTAATTAATCAAAGAAAGAAGCTGTAAAAAAAATCTTTTGTTTGTCTGTTATATATATTAATTTATAATACATCATTATTTATATATTATATTAATACAATATTCCTATGGAATGATTTATATATATACTGACACGGGCTTATTATAGTTTTCATGGTTTTCATTTTCATGAAAATACTGTTATTGAACTAACAAAATTTTCTAAGTGAAAATTGATACAAATGCGAGATCGTACAAACTAATTTCAATCACAAAGTAAACCTATAAGATAAAGTATACTAAAGACATAATATATTTGGTAACTGTTTCTTGTGCAATAAATATGTGCAGTTTCTTAGTCAAAATTTGTATATGTATGAAAAGGATATCGCTTCGAGAGATAAGACCGATTTATGAAAATCAAGATTACCAATCAGTACCGCATAATTCGATTTAATATTTGTCAGATAAAAATTTACAGATTAACTCATTGATTCTTTCGATACAAATTTTCATAATATTTAAAGACAGCTCAAATTTCAAAATTTGTTAAATCTCTAAGATCATAATATAATATGGTATGATCTGTTTTATAATTATTCATTACTTTAGGTAACAAAAAGCTCAACTTAACTTTCGTAACATTATTTTATATAACTACACATTTGCATACATGTTCTGCTATTATTTGTACTCGTTTATGACAAATTTCATCTACTTCGAACATTTTTATTATCATTCTACGGGTGTGATTTCGTAATCGTTTATTGGTTAAATGTAATATGCAACAAAGAATACCAGACATTGTTTACACTAAGTTGAACGATTAATATTAATGATTGACCGTTTACAAATACACATTTTACATATGAGTATATCATAGTGATTCGTTACATCTTTAGGATACAAAATGATACCACATCGATTCGAAGTGAAATTTTGGATGCATATCGTACGAATCATCAATAAATTAAGTACAGATTATATGCAGAACATTCTTTTCATTATTATTATGTATTTAGCTTGTATTTACATTTAATTATCCTTCTTCATACGATTAGAAGTCATCCTGTATATTATAGAATCTCGGCCTGGATCCATTTGCGAAATGGCAACTGTTTTCGTAATAAATCAAAGTTAAAACAATACTTGTATATATTATTTGATAAAATAATAATGATAATAAACGAAAAATTATTACGTACTGCAAATAGCAAACAGTGAAAAGACAAAAACAACTCCAAACCATAAGAGGATATTAAAGATAATGGGATAATTTTCCGTGTAGTCTTTCGAGCGCGAGCGAATCGTTACGTCCTGGAACAAAAATCTTCATGTGTAAAATATTACATATTACACATTATTGCAGCAGTATAGCTGCAAGAAAATTGATGCATTTATTAAATGTGTTCTAAATCGTGTAATATTAGCAGTTAACAAGTGTTCTTAGTATTATATAAAATGTAGCTGGTGTAAACATAAATTTCACAAAAATGTTGTGTTTTGTGTCTATTATACTTTGTAAATGATATATTTTTGTTTATTTAATACGTTTCGTACATCGTGGATCATTGGTGGACCACGTTGATCGATACAAGCAAAATTTTAGCTTGAAGATGTGACTAAATTATTTGGTACAAAACGTATTAAGATTGTATTCGTATTATGTTTTTCTACTATAAGATCAGCATGCATCTTACCGAGTAATAATACAATTAAACAACATTACAATTACAAGATAATTAAGAAATATTATTATGATCTACCTGGTGATTCACTTAACTCGACAAATACTCGCGAAGTATTCATTTTATGAAACAACGAGAAAGAAATTCTAATATTTCTTAAATCTGAACGATCAACATTCAAATATTCAAATATCTGCGAAATTCTAATATAATTCTAATATATGCCACTTAAAAAAATGAAGCGATGAAATTGATAACAATGGATAGAAGCATTGTACATGAAACACGAGTATGTGATTACATATACATCCAAAGAAACTGAACTATCGGCAACAAGCATTTAATAAGAAGCGGTGCGACTCTAAAGCTTTCGATAAATTTTTATAAGCGTGTGAATAATATCTTGCAAACTGAAACCACGTACATCCTTTACTTTAACGATTATATCTACATTCATTATGCGATGATTATGTGAAATGTTTTACGTTTCTCTTTTAGTAATGTCGTGTAATTTAAGAATAAAATATTTCAGTCAGTATATTAGGTATGAAATACGTGTAGCATATTGAATGATAATGATTCAATGAAGACGTGCTTTATTTCAAATAAGACTAAAGTAAAGTTATTAGTAGTTAACGTAGTAGCTTACATTAGACTTGTTGTAGGTTTAAATACATAAAACAAGTAAACGTAACGAACTACATATTAATGTATTTCATTTTATTATATTTATCATTTTATAGCTTCCAAAATTGTTCATTCACGTTATATGAAAAGATCGCAGCCCTCCGAGATACGCACACGTACCTTTTACTGTAATAAAAATTGAAATAAAAAAAAAAATCCTTAAATATTGCGATTAAGAATGAGATGTGTTATGCGTGATTGTTGAGTAATAAACCTTAAAATCATAGAAGTAAAAGAAGTATGTGGTGTCAATGTAAGTAATATTCTTGATCAATGGAATACTTTAATGTACTGTCCAATAATATAGAATAATATGAACTCTTGTTTGAAAGCATTTTCCACGGGTGACAACGTATTTTGTACCCGTATCCGCACTCGCACGGCTTTCAGGCACTCATTGTCAAAAACATGCCCTAAGGTTCTACTCGAATTTTTAAGCTGCTCATAATTTTCAATTTTATTTATCATGTTATATTTATTATTTATATGTTATTTCATTCAAATAAGACACCCCGAATCATATGGATATTTATCGAAATCATACACAATTTAACAAAGGCATACATAAAATTGTATACATGTCTCGTAACGAAACGACTATGGAGTAAAATATTAGATCTGTATGCTAACAAAATATAAAAGCTAAAGAATATTCTTTTACATTGAAGTGTATCGCTAAAATAAATGGGGATACATATCGAACATTCCTCCAATAAGCGTATCCCTAATTTTCGTTTGATAAAATGCGTATAAATTATAAATTGTCAAATAATATGCAAATTAAAACTTTAGAATGCATGTTAAGGGGTTTCGTGATACCTGTCCTATATTTTGTGTGTTGGAATATATATCCATATTAGTCATATCCTGATTCTCACTGATTCCACTATCATCACGAGTATCGCTATTCGCAGTAGAATTATTCATATCACTGTAGTTTGTGCTAGTGTTATTATTACTTGTATTCGAATCCTCTTCGTCTTCTATCTTTTTCTTTTCACCTCGTTGATCATCTTGCTATAAGTACATGTGTTTATGTAAGCAACACATTGTTGCACGACTCAACTAATCCAAACCTAATTTATTGGTAGTCACAGTAGTTGTCGATTTTGGATTCTCTATATGTTCGATAATATTGTGAACATTGTGTAGAGTGGACATTTTATTAGGCTCCTTATATCGTGTTTGAACTTATGACGACTACTGTGAAAGTTAATATCCAGGCATCTATTATGCCTTTTCACAAAATGTACTATTTATTAAAAATAATTCGTTTCTAATCTTCGTTTCAAATTAAATCATATATTTTATTTTACGTAGTAAGATAGTTCAATGACTAAATAAACCCTACGCTAATTGTCACAGCAATCCTAATATTGTAGATTTTTATAATCGAGCAACAAAAGAGAGATTATGCTATCCTATTATATACGATCAAATATGTAGATAATAAAAAGAAGAATCAACAAATATAAGAATACACGAATACACACGCAAAACAATTTCCTATGCCTTCCAGTTAAACTAACAAAACCAGAACCAGAATTTATAGTTTATTGAACCTTAAGTGTTCTTTCCTATTTCGCCTGATGCCGTGCTAGATAACCAACATAAATTTGTCGCCATTATTTTCCATTTTGATAGTTTTGCCAATTCCTTTATGAATCCGTTTTGTTTCCTAGGAAACTTAAATATTTCATATAAATTTAAAAGTTCGTCGCGAATATTAGTGATCGCAATTGGTGATCGTTGACCGCTTGTTCACACCATTGATTGAAGTCATTAATAAGGACATTGAGCAACTAATAGCACTGAATGTGCAGGAATGTCAACTACTAGCAACAGTCAGCGTAAGGCTTGACTACATTGCTTTTCATTTCATAACATCAAAAGATGTTATTACTGCTAACAACAATCATCAGTGGTTGTGATGAAAAATTGGGAAAATTCTGATTGAAATTTGTAATCCCGCTGTTCCGATATATATAATATTATATAGTACCTATAAATATGTAAAAGTTTAATAAAATCAGTAATTCAATGAATATTGTGCTCTGTTTGTTAAAAGAAAATGTATTAATATATTAATTTGAAATTTGTTTTTGTATATTCTGTAGAAAATCAAATGTTGAATATTTCTTGGTAATTTAACATACCAAGGAAATGTTTTGAATTATAAATATCGTCTGTATAATAGTTCATTAGCATGTTTGAAAATCATGCAAAAAGCTATCTCTACTTTTATACACTTGTTGAGTTTCAATAGAATATCTGTTCATGCAACAATACGAACGTACCTTTATTACATTATTATTATTATTATTATTATAGTTATCATTATTGTTGTTGTTATTAAATATTGTACTATTATTCATCCGTTTAGCTTCCGAAGCAGATTCTAGATTTTTAGTTCTATTAGCCTATAAAATATATAGGTGTTAGACACGATCATTGGATATTCTGACATAACTTTTATTGTACTTGTAATGCGAATGTGAAATCATTATTTACGTAAATCAAAAACATTTATCAGTGACAGTTTGAAATCTTTTCATCGCAAAATTCGGTTTCAACATGGAGCACAGCTAGTTTCGGATGTGTTACAAATAGTCATATCCTAATATTGTGAACCTAATATTATTTTATCAACAAATTTTCATTATATTCAATCCAACAAATAAGTCAGATAAGTACAGTATGTTAGAGAAATGTAGATCCAATTTGCCATCTTTATCAACAGCTTCTTCAAAAGCTAGAATATAATATATCAAATGTATTACAAAAGCTATATATAAGGTGTTGTTCAAATCCTTTCATAAAATTCTTGTTTAGTTTATATTAGATGATATTAACATACATTATAAATGCAAACAGTTGTTTCATTAAATAAATGGTTACAGGATATGGCAGTATTGATAGTACAAATGCATATAAACTTATTTTTCATGCAAAAATAAATAGAAGATTTAAAATATATTTTCGTAAATTCGGTCATGTCTGGAAAAAAGATAATATTCATTCTAACGATCTTGTTTTATATTTTATACAAATGTTGTTTTTACTTAACTTAAAATCATAATATCGACTTCCCAGATTTTCGAAAGTGCTAGATAAATGAAGTAATTTATTATTCACTTTTGCTAATTGCTTACAAATCTTAAGTTCCGTAGAGAGAAGTAGTATTTAATATCAAATAAATTTATTCTATGTTTTATTTATTTGCGCACAATACATTTGTAGCATCAACATTGCTGAATATTATACATGAAATTACGCATGGTCTATTAACTGTAATATTTTATGAAAAACATATTTGGATAAATGCACACACTTACTGAAATATATAGTTTCTTCTCATTTTTCTATGAAATATCGGTTAGTTACTGATTTAATAAACATGTAAAATGATTTTTAATTGATCCTTTTTCAAATTTTGCGAATTTATAAAGTCATATATAAGCCACTAATTTTCAATATTAATTTTTCTACGATCCCTGATTTGAAAAAAGTCGCTTTATAATAGGAAGAATTAATAAAGAAAATTGATATCTCGAAATATGCAAAATTTGAAGAAATCAATTTGACCAAATTTCATACGGTGTATTTAACTCGTATCTTTGTTATTTATAATTACGAGTTTATTTTATAAACGTATATAACTTTAAATACAAACCGTATCTGGAGCATCCCGTTTTTGCCTGTCTAAAGTTACTGAACGGATATGATGTACCTTAGTTGCATCATTTGTGAATGCCACAATCAATACCTGAATAAAAAATATTAAAATTTTTATTAGATTCTAGTATATTATACAATATAATAAAAATAATGTATCTACATATCAACAGTTTTTAGAAATGTTATAAAGGATTCTTACCTGACCATCATAAGCTTGAATAAATGCATCGTGAATGACATTCAAAGCATTATTCAACAATGACAGGGCTTCCCTAGATGCAGTTGAATTACTTCCATAAGTATCTAAAATCGGGCGCAAAGAAGATACGACAAGCCAATAAATATCAGGCTTTGAATCTGGTTTGATCGCTGAAGGTGCTTTGTTAGCAATAGCATGGAGTAATTGTACTTCTTCAAGGAACTTTTTGTCCTCTTCTTTTCCTAGGCTTAAAGCTCTTAAAGATGTTTCATCGATGGGGGTGGGTTTTAATTCTCCAAGAGCAGATTGTCCTAGCTGAATTTGTATTGAATAAAAATTATTTTAACTTCAATCAGAATATTCGTCCACAAACTTTATTTATAATAAAATTTTATTAAAAAGATTTATTATTTTGTCAAAGCTAATACTTACAGCATCCAAACCATCACCTAAAGATATCCTCACTAAGGTATTATCATTGTCTCTCTCTTCAAGACGTTCTCTAAGAGCCTGCCATGTTGTTTCTTCAACTTCATTCACATTTAAAGGAAATCTTTTTCCTTTTGGTATGTCCAAAGAATCTACTCCTTCTATCGCTACTGCAACAACAGCTTCTGGAAGTCTAAATGGATCAGTGATAGAAATACCGCTCCATATTCCTCTCTATAATAACAAAAATTATAACATTCAATTAAAATTTTAATTATTACAAGCTCTATGCTTCACAATCCTTAATAGTAGAATTCTACATCTAATTTTCTAACTTTCTCTATACTTTTTTGATTAAGATTTAGAAAATAATATTAAATGAAGGTCTATAAAAGATAACTTAAAGATGCACCAGTTTGACAGTGAACCCTAGAGCAGCCGCTAATACTTCTTTAAGCAAGCTTTGTTCCACTTCTTCATTCCCATTGAACATAACACTATTTGGACTGTGTAAAACTACAAAATCTCCACTTGCTTTAACTGTAACAAGAAGACAGCAATTGTAATGCCTGAACCTTGTTAATTAATTGAATATAAACTAAAGCTTAAATATCATTTGGAACGTTATATAAAATTCGTACCTGCAACTAATGCAGCTACAAAACACAAAAATAATTTGAACATTTTTATTCTGAAAGATATTGCCATAAAATTAAGACACTCCCTTAAATTCGATACCAATTCACAAACTGATCATATGACCACAAAGGAGTATACAGCACATTAACGTAAGAGAAGGCTTAGTAACAGGTGTATGTGCTGACATATAGTAACAACTACATGAACTGCGTAGTCATAAGTAGATAATGTAGAATGTAATGTAGAAGACTGATTATAATAGAAGATATAATGTAGAAGATACGTAGATAATGTAGAACACGTGTTTTCATACTTAACTTACGAGAAATAAAATATTTGTTAGAATCTTCTTACTTTTAATTTAAATTTGAAAATTTTCTAATATAATATAATGGTAATATGTCGATATTTAATTTCATTAAACTTAATATTTTTTATAAGCATATTTTTTATAAGTCTCATGTTATAAGCAGTGGTTTCCTATCTTCCTAATTTCATTACTCTACGGATTGTCGCTAGTGTAGTTTCTGGGCGTTAACTAAAAATGCGAGTGGCAACGACAACATACCTTCAACTTGTGATTTATGCCTTACCTCGTGACTACCTTATTGATTACTTCTGTAATCGAAATCCGAAAGTTGGTGTTCTGTTAAATGTTCAGTGGATGCGGTCGCGATTATAGCAGTGTGATTTCTTAGTAAATTTATCTTATTCCCTTCGGTTTTACTTAAAAGTTTCGTTTCCTATAACGCTCGAAATTATTTTAACCTAACAATATCGACTCCTATTAGAATCAAATATGGGATCGCTTTTTCGAAGCGAGCAGATGACCTTGTGTCAACTCTTTTTACAAAGTGAAGCAGCTTATGCTTGTGTCTCGGAACTCGGCGAACTTGGCCTTGTCCAATTTCGAGATGTAAGTTTTTTATTGTTCCCGTAATTATATTTCTAAGATTTCCGTATACCACTTCTGTGAAAAATGTTCAATTCTTAAATTAATGAACAATGAAAACATACATGTTGAATAAGATATTTAGCAAAGAATTAATATTTTGTTATAATAGAGAATTATTTCTTCCAATTCTTTTGTGAAAATATGCAGACTTCAGATTTTATGTTTTAAGCATTATACTATTATGTTACTAAGAATAGCATTTACAATGCATGCCACTTAATATAAAGAACTACAAATTTTGATATCAAAATCACAGAATTTGTATATGTGTATCGCATACATTTTATGTATGAATTTATATGTCACTTTTTCTTCTAAGAAAAAAGGAAGTTGATTTAAGTGACTTTGTCTCACTAGTGTAATATTTCCCATTCCATGATAGGACTTGAAGACGATAAAGCAAGAATATATACATATTTAGAGTTTCAAGAATTATATAAATGGAGATATTATCGTATTCATTGATATTAAAGTGTAAGATCAAGTTATTGAAGAAAGTTTATTGAAAAGCATAACATATATTCATTTCAATAAAATGGATGTATTTCATTTTTTTGTTACTATGTCTATATATAAGGTCTAAAAGAATTAAATTGAAAACTAAGTCATTTCCTTTTCTTATGAGAAAAATATTTTTGCGAAATTTTACAAAAGAATGTAAAAAGTCGAGTTCTTAACGAGCTGAAGCATGTCAGTCATGGATAACATTTTAGATAGTAGGAATAGTTATATTGTAATACAGGAATAAAAATTATATACAATTAATTCGTCATTTATTTGCATATTTGGTTATTACTTACTAAAAATAACTGATTTAGGTTCATATAGGTATGCTGATCCAGCAAATTCAGGTTGTACGTTGTAGTTACAAAGATATAATTTTTTGTAAGCATCATATTTTTTCTGTTATTTGATAAAGTATTAATAAAATGTTTCATAAAATTTATGTGTGGGAATCTTTTGCATATTTTGCTTAGTACAGTAATAAAAATAAATAAAGAGTGGACAAATACAATATTAAAAGAAAAGCCTTATAAATAATATATGTAGTATTTATGGTACAAATTCTTTTTTTTAACCGATTATCGATACAGTAGGAAATCGTGGAAGGTAATTGGAATCATAAACCTGATTACATACAATATAGCATAATTAACATAAGTTATTAATAATTAACAAATGAAGGTAATAATTAAGAAAAGAACAGAAAATCGGATAATTCTACATGAGTAATAAGTAAAAACAATCAATGCAAATTTGTAGAAAGTTCCGTTTTTGAATAAGATTTGTCTGATAAAAAACTGGGTTATAAATTATACAAATAATATAGTATTACAGCTAAAGAGTATAGTATTATAGGATTACCTGCTTACTTCTATCTATATCTATATCTATGTTTGTAAATATTGACAGTGATATAATCTAAAAAAATACAGTAACTCTATATATTTTAATTATTTTTACTATTACGAATATTCTTGAAAGTGGATTTATCGTGTAGTGACTAATGTTTCATCCTATAAATTACGTAACGTTAAGCAACAATATCATTATATTTTTTTATTTCTCGCTACAAAAATGATTGTTTCGATAATATCATTTAATCGATAGGATTAGGAGATTAAAATGAGGTCAAATACAAATCCAAACGGATTATTTCGAATTAAATAGAGACATTAATTGTACAACTTTTTACATTCTACAAGGCGAAATTTTTAATAATTTAAACGAAAAAGAAATTTATTGAAATATACAAGATATCTAGAAGTTATGGAACAAATCGAAATGTGTTAATTCTTTACGCTAAAAAGATCGAAAAATCATAATTACAATCGAATTTGCTTTTGAGTCAAAATAAATGAATTTGATGCACACATACGAAGATAGATATGTAGATATCACATAGATCACATAGTATAAAAACTACTAATTTTTATGATACAACTAAAATTATGACTACTTTCTTGTACCAATTACGTATTTAGTTTAAGCCTAACGAAATAACATTTGGAGTAGTTTCATATACTAATTTAATTATATGTTTTGTGCAGCTTAATCCCGATGTCAATGCTTTCCAACGAAAATTCGTCAATGAAGTGCGTCGTTGCGATGAAATGGAACGAAAGCTACGATACTTGGAAAAAGAAATAAAAAAGGACGGTATACCAATGCTCGATACTGGGGAAAATCCAGAAGCTCCGCAACCCAGGGAAATGATAGATCTCGAAGCAACGTTTGAAAAATTAGAAAATGAATTACGGGAAGTTAATCAGAATGCGGAAACTCTGAAACGTAATTTCTTGGAACTGACTGAACTAAAGCATATACTTAGGAAAACGCAGGTTTTCTTCGATGAGGTAAGAATATCTTTTTTAAAACTTAAGCATAAAACACCGTAGCTTATAAATTATCTTAAATATGTAAGAAGTATTTTACATAGTATTGCATTTTTTCCTAACCTGCACGAGAAACAAATATATAAGTGAAACAAATATCACTATTTATGAAGTTCACTATACATATATATATATATATATATTATAATAATATACAGAAAGGGGCACGTAGTTTGGATTATTTCAATAATTTTATAAATAATAACTTTCCTGGAAATTTTAATTCCAAGAAGATACATAATTTGAAGGGGACTCTATGACTACATTATTCAGTCCTTTCTAATCACTTAAACATACAAAATTTCAAGCATACTTTTAATTCTTCGTCAAATATATTGCTTTTAATAAAGGATATAAGTAATGTTAATTGATATTGTAAATACATGACGATTCTGTGTTCTACTACATACTGCTATGGTTAAACATTAAATGTTTAACATGTCTGAAAATGAAGTGTTCAACATGTCTGGAAATGAAGTGTTCAACATGATTGAGTTTGTTTTGGCATTGCCCGCATCTCTTGTAATAAAAAGGCGTTTAATTTCAATTGAATAAACATGGATGGTTCTTGTAATTTTGAAAATTACAGTGATAACAAAAAGTCATATAATGGAACACGCGCTCCCTGTTCAATTATGTAACAATCGTGTGAACCAATTTCCGTTGAAATCATTATTTATGAAGTTATCGAACTGTTCGCAGTAGAGTGCTTCGTCTTGTATATTTATAAGAGATTTGAATAATGAATGAAAAAAAAAAATGTGATGGGTAATTTTATACGATAAAATAATATGAAGGTTAAGGTATAATATTAAGGTAAATGTTTAAATGTTCAGGCACGAAGTTTGTAAAATTCAGTAATCCATTAAATATCCTTGTCAATGGTGGATCCTTGTCGAATTATTGAATTTACGACGCTTTTTAACTGAACTTCTAAATATTTTTAACTAAAGCACGAAGTTCCAATCGCAATTCTATTGTTCCCGATTTTTACTTTATTGTGTCCTATGAAACTGTTTTTTTTTTTTTAAATATTTTTCACTTGTTGCATAATACTCTGTGTATGGATGTACAATTAATCGTAAAAAATAGGGAAATTGAATGTTCTTTATAATTAACTCATAATGGGGATAGCTTAGAGTTAGAATGGGCAAATTTTACTTTTAAAAGAATCTTTTTCTAATTATCCTAACTATCGCGATTGAAGCCATGGAATATTCAATTAGGACATTCGCGTGTGGTTCTATGTAAAAAGAATTTGGACAAAATTATTTCTAAAAAGAAAAGATAATATTTATCTAGTTATCTGTGACAATCATCAAAATTATTTTCTAAATTAAAAGTGGTATTCGTGTATCCTATTTTTTGCAATACATTAAGCACATATAAATTCATATTTTACTGTGCAACTGATGTTATCAAAAAGACGCATCAGATACATGATACATTAATGATACATTAATGATACATGAGAATAAAACGAACACAACGAGCATATAGATTTTATTATCTCAATTTTTTTTTTTTCTGTCAAGGATGCGAAAAATTATCCTTCGTCCTTTTTCTTATTACAAAACGCTTCTGGTCATTAAAACATATATATTCTAAGCTGTTTTTTAAATGCCTTTTTCCGCAAAAAAATATTAATTCACTTAATGTATTTACTTCCTGACACCGAATAGTTTCTTAAAAATCGATATTCTAGAATTCATATATTAGCATATTTATTTATAAAAGTTTAAGCTTTATATTATACACACACACGCTTACACATTAATTGGTTACACACTTCATACAAGACCGGCAATGAGATAATTTATTTAAAAAACACAATGAGTTTTGCCTTTTGTCTTTCGACACCATATGAACAATCACGATGCTTAAACTACTACCTTTTTGTTAATTTTTATAATTTATAAATTTTGTTATATACATATATATATAATTTAATTTGTCTAAATAATGTCTAGATAATATTTATAAACGTTTAGTATATTAATAAGTGGCAGTACTTTTGGTACGTATACAATTTTCTAGTATTTTAGTTCACATAAATGTAATGCTTCAACTAGTATAAATAACTCTGTGATCAAGCGTAATACGTGATATTGCATTATTGCAATAAATAATATATAAATGTTATACAAATTTCGCTTATATATACCGCGCGTGCGATGACAATGCTTTGATTAAGAAAAACGGTAAATGGTTATTCGTTTAATAGCCTACTATTTATTTTACTACTCAGTATTTGGAATAATTATTTATAAACTTTGATCTGTAATACAAATTGATGTTTAACTTGCTACTAGTATTGGTCCATAGATAAACTTAGATAAACGTAGATAAATATCCATATAAACAAATGCTTTCATGGTAATTTTTGCTGAAAAGTTTTATGGGTACAAATGTAAGAACAAAATTACTCATTAAATGAACGGTTCTTTAACGTATGCAATGGATTAAAGTGCATGATAATGAAGGTTGCGTAATTTGTGTTTGACATCAATATCATCTGTCGTAATTGCTTCGCAATTTTGTATAACGGAAACAAGATTATTTTACCAAATACAAAATAATAATCATAAAAATGAAATTCTAATGCTATGGACATGAAGCTGTTTTTGTTTTGTATTACTAATGGTACTATTGAGTGATTTTAGGACTATTAATGTGTTAGTGTTGCCAACTAACCAAATTGCAGAATTGCAAAGGACACAAGTCACCGTATAAGCCCTATCTCCCTGGTCCTTTATATTCCTATTATTTTCATAAGAAATTTTCGAATTTCCAATATATTTTATCATTAATTGTTTTGTCAAACGTTTATGGTTGGTTACATAACATTCATTAAAAACATGTTGAGTCGGCACGAAATTTTTGAAGTTCCCGGGATTCTTATTCTTATAAGTTTTAAAATTAAATCGCCTTATTTTATGTGTGTGTGTATATATCTATATATATGCAGGATGCCCCTGAAGTATGTTGATTGCTTCTTTAAGGAGGATAGTAGAGCAAGCAAACTACAATGAACAAATTTTTCAGTAATATTGCAATGTATTGATAAGAAGCTGTCAAATACGTCAATGTTTAGCATTAGTAACATTATGTGACGTACTGTGAAACAAGTGGTTTACACAGGCACAAGAGAAATTGTAAAACTCCTTATAATTACTAGTAAAAATTCTAATACACTGTAAATGTATTACTAGAAAATAATGTATTTATGAATTAATCTAGTTTACCTACAAATCTCCTTAAAGGAGATAATCTTTCTCAGAGGAACTGTGTATCTTAATAGGATAATTAATCATTTTTAATGAAATTAACATAGAATTTTAACATAAATTATTAATTTAAAAAATACTTTTTATTGCAAAAGATCTGTATGATATAATTTATGATGTAGCTAACTCTAACTATTAAATTTGTAATTTGTTATTTTCTTTATATGTAATGACTTATATTGATAATCGGTTTCATTAATTTTAAAACTTAATACAAAATATATCCCATAGTCCATATATTCATAGCAATTTTATTATATATACCACTTAAAACGTAGAAAAAATTCAATTACAAAAAAAATTAATTTTATATTTATTAGACTTGTGTTGTATGTACAAAGTATATTGTATAATTAAAAGTACAATTACATTTTGTCAACAAATAATATTCTGTTTCTGTAATAGAAATCCTTCACTTGTACATACAATAAATTGTTTAATAATGTATATTAATTTCTGGCCAGAATTTGACGATATAAGTGAATCTTTATGTAGCATTATATTGTAGGTTTCCAACTTTTAATAGAGGGTATCAACTTGGTGCTTGGAATGTTGAACATTACAAACTAGCATGCATATGGGTAACTAGAGAATGACAATTTATTATATTTGAAAAGTCCAAAATAATATCCTTATCTAATAATCTTTTTGCATGAAGCATGTGAGATATTGTAAATATTACATGTATATACAGAGTGTCAATTTGAAATGTGCATGTGAAAAAATTTTATAGGCAAAAATTTCCTATGGAAAAAGAAGGTAAACCTGTATAATTTTGCTAAAATATCTTCTTTTTCATCACAGAATGTTGAAACACAAATTTTACAGAAAAATTAAACGAGGTGCAGTTAAACAGTACATATGTATTAAAATATTTCTTATTGTTATTTACGGTCGAAAATTATTATATTCAATCTCTGTTCCTCAGATTATTTAAATATCTTTAAACATTAATAAGCTCATTCAAATAATAAATAATTTCAATAAAGCAGCGATGGATGTACGAATAATGTATTTTATATTTAAAATCGACATATATATGTATATAATGTTTGGCAACCTTTGTTGTTATCCAAACGATGCATTCAATGAATTAAATATTGGGGAAACGATATAATGGAAAGCACTTTCTTCTTAATTGCAAAAAGATTTAAAAAGATATACTTTTCTATAGAAAATACATTGTACACATGCAATATCGCATGTGCAAAATATAATTATATTATTCTTTTCAAATAGAGACATATACTTACACCTCCTGTCATTTTGTGCATATAACAATTAAGATGATTTAAAGTAACTGCTACTACTGTTAAAGATGCCTAAATATTATTTTAGTACATTGTAAAGATTTCATATATATTTCATTTATTGTTTTCGTGCATATTATGATTTATGATCGTATATGTATTTTAAAAGTTAAATGGTATTTGAGGTATTGTGCAACATCTCGGTCATTATGCTCAGCATCGTACTGGCAGTGTTCTAAATTCAATCAAACTCGTGGATAAACATTATCATTTATTGATATTAATTAAATTATTCAAATATTAAATATATTAATAACGTAAATTTAAGAAATGTTATTATTATAAAGATACAGATTAAGTAAAAATATTGAAATATCACTTTACTCGTTATTACTAAATTTCATATAATGATTTATATTTCCTCTGTGTATGTGGATTTTGTATATTGTATCGCGTATTTTCATTAGGTCAATTAACCCTTTCACTACTATGAACATAATGTTCATGTTTGCTAAAATAATTTTCAGTAAAACGTGAAGAAATATTCAAGATTATTTATATAAAAATATAAAACATGTAAAAAAAAAGTATAAAAAATTTTACATCTGTAACATTGTTAATTAGATAATTTAATATATAAACCAACAAAATTGCTATCAGAACAACTCTATTAAACGGAATATGTGTATGCGTTAATAGTATGCGTTTCATACTGCCATCTGTAGAATATTGTACGAAAATCAGTAGAATATGTGTCTTGTACAGACATTACACGTTCCGTACAGACATAAGTTCAATAGGCTATATAAGTAGAATATGTATATCGACACGACGAGTTGTAGCGAAAGGGTTAAGCATTCCATCATTTTCTATAAAAATTGATATGTACATTCCGTTCGTCCTTAAAATTTCTGATGAAATTCTTTTATCATTTAGGGAAAATTGGCAGAATTGTTTGCGTTTTATGTCATCTCTTGTTGCATGTAATATAAATCTAAAATTTGTGTGATTTAAAAATTTGCCAGAGGTTGAACATATATTTTTGTTCATACGTGTTAGGACATCTCTGGAAAAGTCATTAGGGAATTATAAACATTTTAAAGAATTTATTATTATTCTATTTGGAATCATTGATTATAAGAAATCCATATATTCAATATTTTGGTTAAAAATCAACTATTTGTAAAATTGGATAGTTTTCTTGTCCATGTACATAGATATCTCAACTTTCGTATTACTAGATATTCTATCGTAATTATTTTTATTTGTTGCAGTATATAATTTGACAACAATAAATATTAATTATTTAATAAATCAGATTCAGATTTTCGATAGACTTTTCAGAGTTTCCTATTTTGTCGTAACACCGTAACACTTAGAAATAATTTTTTTTTTACAATAAATTTCCTGTTGTGTTTTGAATTGTTATGTCGCACGAATACAAAGTTCTGACCAATTAATCATGAAAATGTGGCTTAATTAATAAGATCTTTAATAAGATCAACGGTGTCCTAATACTTATGAAAGTAATGTATGTTGAATTTTTTCGGTATTTACCATGCCATAGGGTTTACATCTTATTATTTTTAAAGTTTATGAACGCGTATTGTGTAACCTTAATCTCCATTTTGTAAGAGGATGTTTATATTAGTTGTTGATGCTGTTTGGTATTTTCCATCATACATTCTTGCAGTGTTTCTAGAAATGCTATCGCAGAGGTCATAAAAATACTTTATTGTTGTTAGTAAAATGTTAGATTTCAATTCTTGTAGGTTTCGTATTTTCGTTATTACATATTAGCAGTCATTTGATATCGATGTTAAGTGAATAAAAGCACTCATTGAAAATATCTTACGATCATCATCTTTATTATTTTACTTTGGTTTTATTATTTCGATACGTGTAATAAAACATACTTTCAGAGTTGTAATTATAAATACGTTTACTGAAATGGTAAATTATGACATGTGCCACTAAACTATATTTAAATTTATTTATTAGAATGATTTACATAGAGTACATATTTTGAGTATATAGTTCGCAATTTTTTTAAGGAGATTAAGGAGATGTTCTTGATTGATTTCAAGTATACTGTTGAACATTTTCTATTTGCTATGATTCAGTATTGCTTCATCAACATCGATTAATTATTATTTTTCTTAGACAGTAAAAATAAAAAAATAATTATAAAAATAATAATACAGACGAAAATTCTTAATTCTAATTATACCATATAATTTGGTCAAGTAAAGTTAATACTACCATGACATATGGTTCTAAAGAGATTATTTTTGACACACAAAGTAACAAACTTTTTTACACATTTTAGCAAATACTATTCATCACAGCGATGAGTTCAATTTTTTTGACATCCTGTATTATATATAATATATACAAGAAGTACGAATTATTTTATATATTTGCTTTTTTTTTTATAAATTTTTAATTATCGATCATGTTGGAGCATCCCAATTTTTATCCTATTAAAAAAAATTGAGAACCGCCATCCGTGTACAGAGTGGTGAATTGAATAAGTATGTTAACAAATGGTTAAAAAGGAAAATAAAAACAAATAACGGGAGATAGGGCAAAAGAGAGGTGACATGTGTCTGTTGCCAGGCTGAGCATGGAGGTGTCGTGTCGCAGATGGCAGACCCCAGCCGTGAGGAAGAACAAGTCACTCTCTTGGGTGAAGAGGGCCTCCGCGCTGGCGGCCAGGCTCTCAAGCTCGGGTAATTAAATGTGGTGTAAATTCGAATAATGTAGAGCGTGATGATTCGCAAAATTTCGCATAGCAAATACTAAGTACATACATTATGATTTATAGTGCAAGTAAAATTGTATACAGAGAGTTTTATTTGTTTTTTAATATTTTCGTTAATATCTCTGTCACTTTTTATGTATTTATAAACTTTCTCTTTTTTTAAAAATTTTGTAATAATACGTTTTTCCAAAAATATTTTGCCTTTTTTAATTTTCATGTTTGTAAACCTTTCCTTTTTTTTAATTGTTTATTTTTTAAAGTTACTTTATAATAATCATATAATAATCATTCGTCTATTGTCTTATTAGCTTGGAGGTATATAAATAATACTGAAGATGTTGTGCACACGGATACAAGTTACTTTAAGTTAGAATTCATTGATTGTAATACTGACTTTTCGTAAGAACTATTCATGTAAATGTAAGTAACGGAGATATTAAAATAGTTAGGGTGACTTAAAAATCTTGAACAACTCTAAATCGTTTCTTCTTAGAAGAATAATAATATCGCAGTATATTAACTCGTAATAAATTAATGAATTATACTAAAAATACTATATTTTGGCCACCTAAATCACTCTAATAAGTAAATGCAATAATCATTGTGGAAGGAACATAATCTTTAATTTGAAATTTGGAAAGAAATCCTTGCGTTCTACATTTAAGACACCAGTGACTAAAAATCATATTAGTACGACATAAATGTTCTATAGATTTATCTGTGATTTAAAACTCCTACTAAATTTTTTTATTTGTTTTTGAATTTTTGGAATATAAAACGAATAGTGACCGCTACAAATGAATTATTAAATCTATGGACACATTTGTACATATATTTTAATCGAGTTAGAATTTATTAATCCATAATCTGCAAATATTGCAGAGCTTTTCATCAATGTTGTCTGTGCTATTAGGCTATATATAAATCTAGATTTAAGTAGAAGGCATGATGCGTCAGTGTGTTCTGTGGTTACAGCACCTGTATACTACGGCAGACACCATAGGATCACACTATAGGAATCCCCTCAGGCAAGCTGTTATCAACCGTTATTTGCATTTGCAAATCTGTTTTGCTCAGTGTTTTTTTTTTTTTTGTCTGTAGTTACCTAAAATCCTATAGCTCAGAAAGAGCACTAATATTACAGTCGTTGAAACATTTGCTAACAATAAGTCTTACAGAGACCATAATTAAAAGCACTATTAGCTTAAGAAAATACGTATAAAAATTTATTATCAGTGGCAATATTCACGTGCTTGTTAATATAGGAGCATTTATTCGTTGCTTGAAAAAAAATGTATTGATTTATGTTAAAGTGTTACGATAACAATTAATTTATTAATTATAAACTAAGAGATAGAGAGTTATATGGTGTTGCATATTAAAATTTGAATCAAGTAGAGTCTAAGATGGAAATAAAATAGAAATGAAAGTTTGAATGATCTAGTATGACAGAACAGACAAATCAGTATTATTTTCAGAAATATTCAGTGTTAATTTTTTGACCTTATATCATTTTTATTAATTTTCTCTTAAAATAAAGCGATGACCTGATCCGGTTATCATTCGATAAAATCACCCTGTTTATATATATGTTTAATATGTGTGTAGTATATATATATACAGATACCGAATAATAAAAAATATATATATATGTGTGTGTGTGTATATATTACGATACATTCATTTAGTTATATATGTACATGTTAAGTAATTTTAATTTAAATCGTGCACAAATTGAAATACACTATATGTAAAATTGTAAATACATCTGCACATGTATATACTATGTCATTAATAATACTAACATCGTTTAAACTCTGCAAAAAGTATTGCTTCTGCAAAATATATACCCGGAATATCTAATACGAAGACTTATGTTTAATCGACGATATTTGATATCGATTTATTTAAGACTAATTCCGTATAAGACTTCATTCTTTTAATTGGTAATCAAAGGAAAGATAAGAAGCAACGAGATGTATTTATCGACTTTATTTAATATCATTTTTATAGATAAGTGCACAGCGAATTATTTTTTTCAAGCATCGAAATGTGAAATTGCCTTATTTTTACGGTTGCGTACATACAATAAATTGAAAAAATAAGCAGTAACGCTCCGTTAATATTAAAATATTCAGGTCCGATTTAAACAAGGAATTCGTAGCAAATTTTGAATCTTAAAATCTTTTTATCGTAGGTCAATAAAACAAACAGAGAACAGAATCGTGGTAATTTCATTCTTAATATTCGAAATTAATTTTTGACTAACTGACTGAACTGGTATAACATGACAATTGAATAAGACATAGCTGTACAATTTTTAATTAATTTTTATTTGAATATGTACTTCAAGTTTTACTTTTAGAAACTTTTCTTTTCTCTATACATTATACTATCAGTTTTTACAAAGTTACTTTTTGTAATCTATTATCCCAATTAGTAAGATATTAGTAAGAATTGTTTATTTGCACTCCGTAGAAATGAGAGACAATTATAAAGATTATTGCTTTGGCGACTTTAAATGCTCTTTAAAGACAAATGCGACTGTTTGCTTAATTAAATAACATTCACTTATTTATCAAAGTCTCTAATTCTAAGATGTGTGTTAAATTGTTACTGAAACAAGTTAAGTTAAAAAATACACTATATAACAGTTGATACAGTTTGACGTTATTCACATGTAACATATGTATTTAAAAGTTGGTTAAAACACATTCAAACTGTATCGAATATTCTGGTAACGATAACAATACTGAAATAATATATGTGAGTCCATTCATTCATTATTTATTTAGCTTCAACGTGAATAACAGTAATGATGATAGTGTGGCCATGGGTATGTATAGATGCGTACGCTTACGCGCCTACACGAATATCAAAAAAAGAACCTTGATGGTTTCTCATTTGAGAATTCGATTTAAAAATACGAGTAAAGTTAAGAGTCTGGCTTGCAACACCGTTATTTAAACACCCCAATCGATTACACCTATTGTTGTTGGCAATAATTTAAGGTGAGTCGTAAATTCAACTGGTGTCAAATATTTATATTTCGTGATTTCAGATATGCTCAGTTTGAAATTGAGATTTAAACTGTATTAAATAGATTAATCTGTTCGTTGAAAATACTCACGCAATTTCAAGTAAATATTAATGACTATGTAACAGCAATGGCAACCGTGAAGTATTTTAAAGTAAACGTTTAGTTGCTACTCATAATTTTCAATACTAAAGTCAATCCTGTATTTTTAATATTTTACGAAGATCGACAAAAATGTTTAAAGTTGATATTAATAATTAGTAGATCCGTTCTATATTCTCTATATCTTTTAATAAGACTTACGGTGAAGAGACAGAGTTTAGATACTCAAGCAAAGGCAACTTACGCTGCTATATCGTGGTGAGAAAGCTTTATTTAAAATTCTCGTGAACACAAATAGTCATCAAATATTTGTCCAAATATTTATAAATTTATAAATGGCCAAAATATGTTTGGCCATTGTTCATATGCTTCAACTAGATATTGTAATAACGAAAAAGCACTTTTTGTGCATACTGTTTGGTAACTTTTAACTTATTTAGTTCCTCGCCTCTAGATACAGCTTTATTATGAGTTTCTTATTTTAGTAATATTAAGCTTCTAGAAATACGTCTGACGTTTACTATTCTATCATAGCTGTAGTTTTTACGCTTACAGATTGCCCCACCACAGAACTACTACATTGCCATGTCTGACATATAGTATGTACTTCGTATATAGGCACATACATGGCTCTAAAAGTGAAATCTCACTTTGCTTGTCCTTCTATATTTAGACACAAAGCTCATCCTGTCGCACACTTTTTGGTATGTGATTGAATTTACAACTCGTATCTCTTTAATATTCGTCTTTCATATATTTGAAAAATCTAAAATAATAAGATCTAAATAGTAAACGAATTATATAAAATGTAAATGATATGAAGCTTATTATTTTAAAGCTCGTACGGCACGTTAAATACATACAATTATATTTAAACCAAGTTTTAAATTCGAAATGCTACAAAAGGCTTTTATTAACCGGACAGTGTAATAACAATATTTAATAATGCATTGTGGTTGAATGTTAAGGATGAAAAGATCAGCAAATTTTGTAGTTTCGTTATTCAAGCAATTATTTCAACCAAAAGCATACAACACTAAGAGTAGAATTCGTGTAATTGGAAATCGATTTAGTTTATTTAAACGACTATTTATGTATTCTCGTATATAAATGCATGTATAAATGACAGTAAGTTTGGCTTTGTGGATTTCAAGAAGAAGTAGTTCCAAATAAAACATTAATTAAAATAATTAGAATTAATTTCATTTCATAACTTGAATCAGTTTGTTTCATAAATTCATCCTTATCCCTCGATCTACAAAGCGTCTGACCAGTTATGGACGATACTACTGTATATATATATTCGCTTATCGTATATTATATGTGTATATGTCGGGAAGGGGTAAACTGGTAAGTAGTAAGCTTCTGATATGTTTGTTTTGCATGCTATGTATTGATTCTTATGATTATTGTTTATTCCTCGAAACCTAATCTAACAGCATTTAACAGGTAACAGAAACCTTTCTTTATCCAACCAAAACAGGCAAATCACTGTATTTATGCTATTGTATTACTCGCACTGTAGGTTATAAAACTTTCTGTTCAATTTTATACCTGAATTTACTAAATGAAAATCATAATTACAAAGGAAACTATAAAACAAAAATAGTATATATACAAGACGACTCATTTTGATTTTTGTTACCCACTTCATGATTAACTAATTTCGAAGAATATATCGAAGGGTAACCAAAATATGAGTTTTAGAGTTTAAGGGAAGACTAAAATAAAGGAGAACAATGATTTCTAAAAATAAATACGTTTCTAAATAAAAGTGTTGACCTGTATAAATGTAAGATACATGTATATTTTATCACGCCTAAATGAATTAAATTGGCATTGTGGCCGATTTCTAGAAACCTTCTAAATATATTTAGTTACAATCTAATATTACTTGAACTTTGAATGATATAACTATATAACTGAAATTATTTTCAAATTATTTATTGAATAAGAATCGTTGTGTACATGATATTTCTGTATTTCTTCTTTTTTTATTTTTGGTTGTCTTTCCCTTTCTTCTTTTCTTTTCTTTTCTCTTTCTTCGTATATTCGCCCTACGACCTGGTTAATTCAATATTGAACCAACTATTCTTGAAATTAATTCGAATGGATTTTCGAATTCGTACTACCTACGTTACGTCATAAGTAAATACATATGATGTTTCTTACAGAGTACCATCGCAAAGTGATAATCGCTAATTTTTATGAAATTCGGATATAAAATGGTTTCTCAATAAAAATGATATTCACTCTCGAGGTTACGAAACTTATTTAGCATAATACTAAGCCAAACAATTTTCATTGAAGCAAAAGTTGGAAATTAGTGATTATTACTTGAAATTCCACTAGTCCTTAGGTCATAAACAAGATTTATATAAATAAGATTACATTTCGTCACCATCACAAACAACATTTTTTCCCCTTCAAGTTCCTATACAGGTCTAAAAAAAGAAATTTATGGACGCATGATTCATTAATATATGTATTCAGGAAGTAATAATTACAATTAAATAAACAATAAATTCCATTTTACTCAATATTGACATTTATTCTAGAAAAAGAGAAGCAGGATCTTTTCAAAACTCAGAATGGTATAGGAAGAGCAATTTATTTACAAAAAAGTTTTCAGATTTCATGAGAATTAACTTAATTATTTTTTTTTTCTCTTCACATTTCCCACAACAAAATATCGTAAAATTCTAATAAATAAAAATCATCTAATAAATACACGTAAGGATAGTTTACTACCTAATTTGACATAGTGCCATTGAAGACAAGAATTTACATTTACATAATTGAATACCTCATTGTGTCAATAGAAAAGCAATAAAATATTATTTATTACCTCAAGCGCACTATTATCATAAATATTTGCTTTTCTATTTATTTGATGTCTCGCGGTTTAATGATGCGACTGCGTTGAATTAACGAGGTCATTTTGTATTGATGGTGAATTAATAATTGATATTTAGCATAATTGATATTAACAGCTTCAATATATAATGTAACACTGTATAGTAATTCATATTTAGTTGAAAATATAACCGATTTAAGATATCTTTGTAACCTTAAAAATACTTCCTCTGGTCTTATTATAGAAGCAGTTACTATACATATTTCGCAATTTACTGGTACCCACCACTACAGACAAAAATTGAGAAATTGAAATTAATCTTTATGGTAGAATACACTACTAAAGTACACTACTATTAGTACACTACTAAGTAGAATGTATATTATGCTAAAAATCGGTCGTTATACTCTTTAACAATTATATTATTTTATTCCTTATACAAGGGGAATAGGCTCGGAAATATTTATGTAATATATGATATGATATGATAATGATTTATATAATATGATCAATATGATATTCATTTGAAGTGTAACATTATTATTAAAAAATGTATCGCGTGGTGAAAGAAATTATATTGTCTAAAACTGAACACATTTGATCTATTGCTTACTAATTGTAAGAAATATTAGTGCCTATTGCTGCTTGAAAAAAAATATATATATATACATTCAAAGCAATTCCGTTTCTATTTCTGCAAAATTGGAACCAGTAAATTTCCTAAAATACGAGCCATTAAAGATATCTTTAATCTTATTCCTGCGTGTGTAAAACGTAAGGGAACTTACGCAACAACAATATGGCGTTGGAGCATTATAGTGATGTCTAGTGTGCTAATGTGGTTGTGTCTTGTCTGTTGTGTCGTCAGCAAGAGCACGCAGGCTTGAATCCTACCGAGTCCATGACACGTGCATTGATTAGTGATGATAATATCGCCCGCCAGACTGCCCTTGGTCCTGTCCAACTGGGGTACGTACTCCTACTAGTAAATCCTTCCCATATCGTTATTATATCCTTCTAAATTCATTCAATACGATTATATTAATAATTTTATCATTTTTAGAAACTTTTATATCTAGCACCGTTTTTTATCACAGAGTTTCCAATTGTATCTAGCCAATTTTAAACGGCTGTTTTATCCGTATAAGGTGTGCAGGATGAAGTCAGGGTGGGTGGTATGCAAACGATGAATAAACCGAAAATATGGAATAAAATGTTTTCTTGATCTCACATTCGATTCATCGAACGTGAGCCACAATGATTGACTCTTTAGCTTTCTTTTAATTTTAGTTTGTAACTACTAAGCGATGAAAATATCATAATAAACAATAATTGAAAATTTTTTAACAATTCTGTACGTAAACTTTTTCAAAACTGTAAGATTTACACTGTATTCTGAATAATTAAATTCACTATCAAGATTGCCATTCCTCGAAGAGTAGCAACTATATATAAAAAAACTTCTGTATTTTTTACTTTCGAGTCATTTTTATACATAGAATTCCTACCTGCCCGGATCATCCTGTATGTCGCAACCTAAACAACCTAAACATAATATCGTAAATGTTTTTGTTACTTTTGAAGTCGTGAAAAGAAAATTGCTTAACAATAACATCAAAGAAATAAGAGTAAAATTATATAGAAGATGCTTATTAAAAGTTCAGATTGTTTTAGCCACATTAAACTTTTTTAAATAGCCAATAAATTTAAATATGTTATAGCGACTTGACGAGTAACAGGAATATTTAATTATGCAAATGGGACATTTTCTGTAATAGGCAAATATAATTTGGTCAATTTTGCTCATGCATATACAAAATGATTATGGTCAGCATTTCCAGTTTCTGCAAAATCGTAAGAATTATAGAAACATTTGTTAATAATGATTTTATAGCTTTCAAGGAATTTTTACTATAACTTTAACAACTTTATGATGGTTTGAGTGTCTTTTTATGTGTGCGTAGAAGAGTTCTGTAATATGCATATACACTGTTTACGTAAATTCAACATGATTATGATCCAAAGTATCTTATTTCTTTTTTTTTTCATCGTACACTTACAAACTATATAATATAATTACTAATACAAAAAAAAACAAACATAAAATAATATTGAAAAATATGAATTGAAGTACAAAACAGATGATCGTTGAAAAGTAAATCGATTTTCACGTGAAGAATCAAATAAACTTGCACACTGTAATTTTTATACATGTGTGTTTATGTGTTTACTAGGATAAGTCATTTTTTTATACCGAAATCTTTTTCATTTTGTTCTTCAGAATTGTTTTAACCCATCAAATAATTTTTTTAATATTTGAGTTTGATCGGAGAATAAAAACATATACATCCTTAATATTTTACATGTAAAATTTTCTGCGTTCTATCAATACTTGTAAAAAGACTTTCAGCCATCTACAAATAAGAATCATCCATAGAGCTTATACATAAAACTTACTATTTTTCTTTAACACGATACCATTAAAAAATAGTTTTTGCATGTGAAGTATTTTACATTGTATTGTTTTATACTTCTCGAAATACAACAACTTTCCTTACTATAATAGATTTCTGTCTCTTTTTTTAACAAAACACACTTTCTGTGCTCCCATAATGTGGTATTCAATTTTATCATTTCAATCATATGCATGTTGTTTTATTTCAACAGTATATACACACATCTAATTAGATTAAAGTTTAAATGATCATATTAAAACTTAATATGCAAACTAATCCTAATTTACTTAATAATATTATAATAAACGCTTACTAAAAGTCACCGCTATAAGACATATTTTTTCTTTCTTTTCGAATATCGTCCGTGGTTATCACTTTTCATTTGGGCGCACCAAACTTCTTTATTTTGAAATCTCAAGCACATACAACATTGGATAAGATTATAAGCCATTCGTTTAGTACGTTTTCATTGAACATATGCTACTATTGTTGTTGCTATCATTCTTATTACAATCATTATTCCCATTATTATCGTCATCCCTTCATCATGATGACATTATTATCACTATCATCGTCATTTTTATTGTTATTTTTATTAACATTTTATATACATGTATACATAATGCGTTTATTGAATTTTATTGTACTCGAAAATTATGATATATTCATATATGATGAATCAAGCAACGTTTATGACTAAAAAGAACCATGGCTACAAAGATCATCATTCTTCAACAATAATAAGGTTAAATAACAATTAATGAATTTAAGATATAAAAACATATAAACGATACAGGTTGAAAGTATAATATCTATAACGTAGTATATTAACCTTGGAAACTCATATAACTTGAGCAATATATGGCGGCATACGATATATGCATATACAAACGATTTTCAATGTAAATCGTTGATATACATTATTATTACGTTCATGTTAAATTTAAGGTGTTTTAAAATATTTATACATACGCACAAACATACGTGTATAGTGTATATGTATAATTAATGGTGTCATGTCTTTATTTTCATTCATTTACAATTTTTCCGTGATACGCGTATCTTACTAAAATTATTCTTTAAATAGATTCGTGGCAGGAGTTATCCTACGAGAACGTATTCCAGCATTTGAACGTATGCTTTGGCGAGCATGCCGTGGTAATGTATTCCTGCGTCAAGCAGAGATTGAAACCCCTCTGGAAGATCCTTCAACGGTAGGTCTTCTCTTCTACATCCTTATGATATCGATCGTCTTTAAAGATTTTTTAGCAAATGTAAAAATGTATTTAAAAAAATATATTGTTGTGCTTTTTTAGGGAGACCAAGTCTTTAAGTCTGTATTCATCATATTCTTCCAAGGAGATCAATTGAAAACTCGAGTTAAAAAGATTTGCGAAGGATTTAGAGCTACTTTATATCCTTGTCCCGAAGCACCCGCTGATCGTCGTGAGATGGCTATGGGAGTTATGACTCGAATTGAAGATTTAAATACAGTCAGTTACTTCCTTTTTTTTAATAATAAAAATATGCCAGAGTTAGCGCGATATTTATGAAAACATTGTTCATGATCTCACCGTCTATCTTGATTACAATAGATGATCAAAGTATTCCCTGTATAGACTTCTATACAATTATACAATTTTAATTACAGCGGAATTTTACGCTATTTTGTTACTCTACAATTCTCCTTTCATTTTTATTAAACATTCTATTTACTTATCATCTCGCATTTGGTGATACATATGAAGCTACTTCTGAAATTATGCGGAATAATCAAAATACTATATATATATTTGTGTTATTTTTATATATAATTTAATATATATATATGTATATATTAATTTATATTTGTGTTATGAAAACTAACGATATCTCTCTCTATCATAATTCAATATAGGTTCTTGGACAAACTCAAGATCATCGACATCGTGTCCTAGTAGCCGCTGCAAAAAATATTAAGAATTGGTTTGTGAAAGTTCGCAAAATCAAAGCAATTTATCATACTTTAAATTTATTTAATTTGGATGTTACGCAAAAGTGTCTAATCGCTGAATGTTGGGTTCCTGTGCTAGACATTGAAACAATACAATTAGCATTGCGTCGTGGAACTGTAATTATTTATATATATTCTTTAAATAATTCCACATTGTCATTTTTAACTGAAAATTTCATAGAAATGTATATTTTAGGAACGAAGTGGAAGTTCTGTACCACCGATTTTAAATCGTATGGCAACGTTTGAAGATCCGCCTACTTATAATCGAACCAATAAATTTACCAAAGGTTTCCAAGCTCTGGTAGATGCATATGGAGTAGCTTCTTACAGAGAAATGAATCCATCTCCTTACACTATTATAACATTTCCATTCTTATTTGCTGTTATGTTTGGTGATACCGGGCATGGCTTAATTATGTTTCTCTTTGGTGGATGGATGGTATTAAAAGAAAAACCATTGGCTGCAAAAAAATCTGATAATGAAATTTGGAATATCTTCTTTGGTGGTCGATATATCATTTTTCTAATGGGCTTATTTTCAATGTATACTGGACTTATATACAATGACATATTTTCTAAATCATTAAATATCTTTGGGTCATATTGGAGAATCAATTATAATATTTCAACGATAGTCACAAATAAGGAGTTGCAATTAAATCCTAGTGATACAGAACAATATTTACAAATTCCATATCCTTTAGGAATGGATCCTGTGTGGCAATTAGCAGAGAATAAAATTATTTTTCTAAATTCATACAAAATGAAAATATCTATCATTTTTGGAGTCATACATATGTTGTTTGGTGTGATAATTGGTCTATGGAACCATATGTATTTCAGGAGACAGCTGAGCATAATTTGTGAATTTGTCCCTCAGATAATTTTCCTAATATTTCTGTTCCTTTACATGGTATTGCTTATGTTTATTAAATGGATTAGCTATGGTCCTAATAGCGATAGTAAGTAATATGTTATATGTAATACAAACATATGCTATAATATTATTATATTATGATACTTATTATTATTTTTAGACACAGATCCAGCACATGGACCTTTCTGTGCACCATCAGTATTAATTACATTTATTAACATGGTATTATTCAAGCCTGGTGTTGCACCAGCCAAAGAATGTAGCCCCTGGATGTACAGTGGGCAAAATGGATTCCAATCGTTCCTCGTTGTAGTAGCTGTTCTTTGCATTCCATGGATGTTATTGGCAAAACCTGTTTCAATGATGTACAATAGAAAGAAACAACATTACCAGGTTACATTTCAAATTCATCATAAGTATTTTAAATTCGTGTTTTTTAATACATATAGATAAACTTCTCTTTTGTTCTCCCTTCTTTACACATTAGTTAAACAATCATGGTACAGAAAATGGTGACATAGAAGGTGCTGTTGATGCTATACAACCAGTAAGTGGAATTCCTCAAGGAGGTCACAAAGAAGAAGAGGAGGATATGAGTGAAGTATTTATTCATCAGGGCATTCATACCATTGAATACGTTCTTGGTAGTGTATCCCACACAGCATCCTATCTTCGTTTATGGGCCTTATCTCTTGCCCATGCACGTAAGTTTAAAAATTAATATGTTTATTGTTCCATAATTTATAGCAGATATATTTTACTAGACATTTAATGATTATATATAGAATTATCAGAAGTATTGTGGAACATGGTAATGAGAAATGGGTTAACTCAAGAAGGTTGGTCAGGAGGTATCATTTTATGGGCTGTATTTGCATTTTGGGCTGTTTTAACTGTCGGCATTCTAGTTCTTATGGAAGGCTTATCAGCTTTCTTACATACACTTCGACTTCATTGGTATGTTGAAAAAAATGATCGTTATATTTAAGAAATTTCTATATTACTATACTATATTATACTTTAAGGATAATATAGAATACAAACTACCTTTTTAAATAAAATACATGTTTTTCTGACTAAAAATTTAATACTTTATTATAGGGTCGAATTTCAAAGCAAATTTTATGCTGGACAAGGGTATGGCTTCCAACCATTTTCATTTGAAATTATTTTGGATGCAGCCCAATCTACTGCAGAAGATTAAAGTATATTGCTTCACAATACAAAGTTTCACTTACTCCATATACTATCAGTGGACTTGTTGTTCATAAGTATAGAAAACATAAAAGTAATAATATTATGACATTTTCATGTCAATAGAATTCTAACAAGTCTCTAAAGTGTTATCATGTTAATATTATGTTTAAATAAATTAAATAATTTTTATTCTGTAATCATGTTTCAAAATTTATTTAACGTACTATTTCTATTATGTGCAACAATAATTAAATTTATATTTAATCATATTTTTTCATTACACAATTAAAGATTGCTTGGAATGTTGTAATTCTTCAAAGAAACTTTCACTAGACGATGCTTATGGAATTTACAAAGATATAAATGGTATAAGCTATAACTGGATCTGAGGTAGAAAAAGCAGCTATAATTATATGCATATCGTGTATTTAGCTATTATTATAATTATACACATATATGTCGTAAATTGTAACTTATATCATTTTATTATTGCATTCCTATCTGTTATGTAATAAAAAATGAACATATATAAAAGCTTTGTATTTAATTTATTGAAATAATATTTTCAGTACTTCGTAAATACATTACAATACACATACGCGTATACATAGATGTATAACATAATGAAATATCTGTATGTGTATTGACACAGCTGCTATTATCAACAGATTTCTTATACTGTAAAGGTCAAATTGAATTCATATTAACAATTTACAATTGATTGTATATCACTTTCTATTCACGTCTATTAGATTCTAAATCTATTATAACAATAACAAATTCTCTTTCAGGAAAAGACACTTTAATTTCTCAATTAAATCAAAATCTTTTTTTCGTGTCGTCAACGGAAAAGTTTGAAGAAGATTCTTCACAGGAATCTTCCGAGTCATCGTTTATTATATTTGAATTAGGACCATTGATTTGTTCTATTAGATCATCTTCAATCAAAGTGATATGTTGAACGAGGGTCGTGGCAAATTTCGATCATGTTATACGAATCTTCCAATGTTGTAATACAAGTACTATGTTATTCGATGATTTCTTTAAAATGTCTTACTGGTAACCACGATTGAAAACTCAAATATCAAAATTTGCTGCTTAAATTTATATATCAAAATTCATTTTATAGTGCTTACCATAATTAACAATATAAATTAATAAAACAGAAAAATGTACATATACATATTTTAAGGTAAGAAGAAAGAATTATATATTATCTTTATTTTAATAATATACCTAAGGAGATTAATTATTTCATAAATATAAACATAGGTAAAATAAATATATAGCTTTTCTATATATAAAGCTACTGGAATTATACTTTTATAATTATCAATTTTATTATAGCATATAGCATTTTTGTTACTATCTTTTAAACAGATTTATTTTATCTTAATAACATAACTATTTTTAGATTATGTCATATAGAATAATGATGCAATATTTTGCTTCAAAACATTTACTTATCTTTATCAAATTAACTTTAAATTCGTTTATAAAAAAAATCTAGTAAAATATAATGTTTTGTTTTGTGTGGCTTTTTTTATATGCTTCTTAATACAATAAAAAATGAATGTTATGGTTTACAGAGATAATTTGAGATTCACAAGTAAGAACATATCCCTTATCATATTTTTTAGCGATTCTATTACATCTCGGTAAATATAACTGCTCCTACATAATTACGTAATCTTCACAAGATAAAATATGAAGATAATACATACAGAATATATACCTTTTATCATATTGGACTTTGATTGGTCGATCAACGAACATTGCTTAGAGTAGGAATAGGCCGCGTATCACCACTGGTGTTTCCATACTCCCACTTCTGCAAAAATTAGCGCAAGTCTTTCCACGTTCAATGTAGTTCCAGTTGCTCTCTGCCTTGATGGTAAATGGTAGTCGTGTCTTGCTTTACGGTCATTTTCGTTTTATACTTGTGTAATTTCATTATTAGTATCAGTCAAGATTATGGCAGACAAACAACGTGTTTGCATCATTGGATCAGGAAATTGGTAAGTTATTTTTAAGTCTTTGTAAGATTAACGTCTGTAATTACGAAAAATTTGGTCTGTCATTGATTTAGTTGACCGGGCTAAAATTTTATCAGAATCGATCTCCACGTGCTGTAAATAAAAACCAGATAAAGTATCGTACACTTGTTAAATCTACTATATTTTTATTACTAACACCTTTCGATAATACTTGTGTATATTGACAAATATATTTTTAGAAAACTGAATTGTCAAGTTTGGCAGATTCTAACTAGGTCATGTTTTATTATAATTTGTATATATATTTTTGTAAGGAATGCATGTAAAAATGTTAAAATAAAATAAAAATATTGTGGAAATAACAAGTGTGTAATATGATATTATTCATAAATGATATAATGTGGCGTGAATCATGTATTACTATTTGTAGATTAACTTTATGCTTAGATGAAAAAATTAATTTGCTGAATAATTCGAATGAATCTCTAATATATCTTTATTTGTATTACTATATAAAATGTAAATTAGGAAAATATTATAAGCTTGTTTCCCTGGTAAAAATATACGCAAATTTTCGTGCAAAGATATGGAAAAATGTTATGTAAAACAAATTATTATATAATTTTACTGTATATGTATAATTTCAGGGGTTCAGCTATCGCTAAGATAGTTGGAGCAAATGCCGCCAAACTTAATAATTTTGAGGATCGTGTTACAATGTATGTTTATGAGGAAACTATCAATGGAAAAAAACTAACTGAAATTATTAATGAGACGCATGAAAATGTAAAGTACCTTCCAGGACATAAACTCCCGCCCAATGTGGTAAGTAAGTACTTATGTACATGTTTATCTATACTTTTTCTCGTAATTAAAACAATCGTTTTTCATGCTAAGAAATAGACTACAAATATTATATGTATTTTAAAATTGTCCTACATACCTTTATTTCTCGATCAAAGATATGAAGATCTTAATGCTTCAAACCATTAAGTGTTATGTACATAACAATAATATCTTAGATTACATCGAGTTTCCTACCCAACTTTCATATAAACTTCACATAAATATATCGTATAAATATATCATAACATTCATATAAATATACCAAAACTTTCTAAAATAATATTATATTATTGATAATATTATCCTACACAATAATATATACTTATTAAATTCTACACCTTATTCTTTATTTATTTCATTATCTTTTTACAATATATTTTAATATATGGATACATACGTATTACGGATAATACATATTACACGTTGTGTAACCTTACTATTCTTACTGTTAAATCTATAATTCTGAAACATAAATTAAGCTTACGTAACTCTCGTAAGATCACATGTATCTCATATGTAATCCGTCTCTTTTTCGTACAGAAAGAGTATATATTCATTCCATATATATATATATTCATTCCATATTAGAAATCTGTTTTAATTATTTAAACTTGCAAATAAATTAATAGTTTATTAGAGTAATACATAGTTTATTAATGCAGTATAATTATTCTTGATAATTTTGTGAAAAGTTTTAACGAAATACTTTCTACTTTTAATTTTTAATTTAATCCAAAACTGTAACTTTCTTTTCTATATCGCAAATACTTATACGTTATCGTTTAGTTTTCGCAACCTATAATTTTAATTTCACTTCCGAGATACACGTCTCAGGATACACGTTCGTAATTTCTATCTATCGCACGCATATAGATTGTTAACTTTTAGCGTCAGTAGCTTTGTATAGAAAAACCTTGACCATGACGAAGTCTGCTGAAACTATCTATTGATTCGTAAGGTAGTACATTTCTCTAGACGTATTTAAAATGTATATCTAGTGTAATATGTGAGATAGGAAGATATCTGTAGAGATAGGTGGATGTAGATCCACATAATAAATTTAATGTTACAAATGATTGAGCCTTTTGATCCTATTTTAAGCTTAATTTTCATTTTGAACTATTTTAAACTGAGTACGTCGGTTAAGGTTACTATAATCTTAATATAAGAGAAATAGGTTAGGAGATTTTCGATTATTTAATGAGTATTTTGTACAGCTATGTATAGTATTTATATAATAAACTACTTTACTATATTTGGTAAAATGCGATTTTTATTTTATATTAAGTATATTGTACTAACAGAATCATCCCTTGGAAAAAAGTAGAACATTAGAAGTAGAAGATTGTATTATTTGTAAATACTAGAAATTACATGATTCATTACGTATATATTTATGAATTGATAATAACTTATGAACATGAATATCTCTTCGCATAATTTTTAATATTTGTAACAAAACTTATTGAAAATCACTCCACGAAACATGTGAATGGAGACAATTATTTTTCTAATTGTTAAAAAAATACATAATTTCTATGCACTGCAAATATAGAAATGATATATAAATATTAACAGTCTATATGTTTCTCATGCTCCAGATTGCAGTTCCTGATGTAGTGAAAGCTGCCGAGGATGCAGATATCCTAATTTTTGTAATACCACATCAATTTATCAATAAAATATGTAGTACGTTATTAGGGAAAATTAAACCTACAGCTGTTGGTCTTTCTTTAATAAAGGTATGATTTTAATTTAGGATTTAGCATTAATAGATTATAAAGTATTGATTCAATCAATGAAATCAGATTTTAAACTTAATTATTTCAGAAACAATGTTTCGGACGAAAAAGCTTCGTGCAAAACTTTTTATTTGTTTTGTCGTGTAAAATCTAACCTACCAATACTGAAATTATAAATTTATTAATATTTTTACAGGGTTTTGATAAGAAGGAGGGAGGTGGTATTGAACTTATTTCGCATATAATTAATAAACAACTTCATATTCCTGTTTCGGTTTTAATGGGAGCAAATCTAGCTTCTGAAGTTGCCGAGGAAATGTTTTGTGAAACTACTATCGGTAAATATTTACTGTGTGTTTACAGAACAAATATCATATGTCTTTTAAGAATGACTTGTACTATTTGTTCGAATGCTACCATTAGGAAAAAAATTTAATTTCTGTTGGATATTATAAATGATATTATATTACATACATATAGACATACGAGAAAAAGAATGGGTGAAATCGTTCAAGTATCGTTTCATGTCTGAACGAATAGTGCATAATCTACTTTGTGTTTGCACGTTCATATAGGTAAAAATTAGGCGAAGAGAAAACATTTTGCTATGAA